AAATAGTTTTTGGAATATTCTTTCGCAAATATCGCACTTTTGAAAAAAAAACTCTTAACGAATTAACATCGTACTATCGTAGGTATTAACGTAAAGATTATTGTAAAAGTTGTAAGCATTCTGATTGGGCAGAGTAAGGTCGGCCATCATAATAATGTAAAAAACCAATCACTTTAGTTTTTTCAATTCATTCAAAAACTTTAAGAATTGGTTTTTGATTGGCTCGAAAAAGTCGGCCATTACTATAATGTGCGTAACCATGGAGAAACCAATCACGTTCGATTTTAGTTTCATTCAAAAACTTTGGGAAATTTTAATTGTGTTTCATTGTGTTGCATTAATTTATTAAAATACTACATAATTCCTATTTTTAATGAAAATGTTAGTGATTTACCCATCTGGCGTACTTACAAACACATCATAAATTGACGACGAGGACACGGAAGTGAATTTGAACAGTTTCGTGGAAAAAGTGAAACAACCTCAATTTCTTGGAGGGAAGTATAAAAAGACCGTTTTCTACAGGCTGCAAAAGCCTACCGTACAATTTGCAGTCTAAAATCAACATTCCGTCCCAATATTTTTTGTTAAAACTTGGGATTTAGGCATCATGACGCAAAGTAAGACAAAAAAAAACTTTTTGAAGAGTGCAATATTCGCTAGGGAATATCTTGAAAACTATGTAAGACACAAAAAAAACGGAAAGATTRTCTTGTAGAAAATTTTATAAGCTTTAATTTAGTACATATTCATTTTTTTCGTAACACGTACTGTTTTCGAGATATAAACGAGAAATTTATGAAACGGCACTTTCGCGGGGCTCCCTGACCACCGCTCACCTCGAAGGACCAGAAACTTTTAGTATGTTTACCTCCTAACTAAGCCAAACGTAGCCTCGAAGTCCGAAATTTTGTTTCCACTCTTTTTGAGAGTTAATTTTTTGTAGATTGGCAAATTCCGCACTAAGGAAGACCGTGCAGACGCCGAGCTGCGGCAACTCCTCGGCAGCGACATCTCCGACGTGGAGAGCATGCAAGGGACCCTCCCTTGGCGGCGGACCCGCCGCGATTCCAACCGCTCCTTCCTAGGCCAAGCCAACGGCAACCTGACTGATGGAGACGACGAAATTTTAGAAAGTCTCGTCAAGACTGCCACTAAGGGACCCTCCAGGACGGCGCCCCGAGAACGAAAACGGACGAGACACGCCGACAGAAAGTCATGTAAGTAGAAAATTTGCTACAACTTGTACAAAGTTGTAATTGGTGGAGTAGAATTGCTGGTATATTTTTATATTGTGTTGAAACAGTGAAACGTTCTCGTACAAGAGAGAACAATCCTTTCGGTAGCAGAGATTCGCCCTAAATGGCGGTATGTGGATTGAMTGAGTGGCATGTGCATGCATTTTGTTCAGTTTTGTGTTTTTTTTTTGCATGTTTTTTGCTACATTTTTTTTTTTTTGTAGGAGGAAACAGTAATAATTTTTTTGTTTTTTAGTGAGACGAACTCTGAAAAACGGCCTGTCAGAAGAGGAGAAAAAGCACCTGTCGGCCTACATCAAAGGCTACTAAACCCGTCCCTGGTGCCAATTCCTGTCTAGAGAATTTTACATTTTTTTAATTTATTTAGCGCATCTGTGAGATGTTAAATGTATACTATTTACAACTGACTTTGTTATGTGATAAAAAGTATGGCTGCTCACTCATCTTGTTGTTTTTTT